CCCATCGAGATAGGCGTTCCCGACACCATCTCGCCCTCAGTGGACGACCCATCCACTCCACTGTTTTGCTTCTCCTTCCTTCCCTTCGTTTTCTTCGTTTCCGTTAGGCTTGCCTTTTTCGTTTGTATGTTGGTTCCGATCGTTTTTTTTAATTTGTTGTAAATCATCCATAATAATCCCACGAGTGGGGGAGAACTAGAGGTCCACCCGGGCAGAGATCCCCCATTACCCGGGCAAGCGTAAGTTTTTAACCCAACCGAGGGGTCCGCAGGTACCTCGGCTTGGAGTGCGCTCGCGACTGAACTTCCCATCAGCCATGCATCCCCTGACCACGCACCAGAACACGGGATTCGGGGAATTTTTTAGAGAGGTTATCTTCCTCGTGGTCCGGGCGGTTAAGCCAAGACCCTCGCCCCCGATCAGAGCCGCGAGACTTAACCACAGCGCTCTTCTCGGGATTACGATATGCCGACGGTTGACAGGGAGACTACGTCCCCCTGCCTGCTCGGTGGTAGTGTGAGTACACGCCGAGCCCGTCCTCCTTTCTCCACCGCTGTCAGCGGAGAAACTGTGGCCCCTACAGGGCCCCGCCATCCGGTTTTTACCGAGGTTTCCTCCTCCATGCTCCGAAGAGCGAAGAGCCAGCAGGGCAACCGGCAGACACGCCCACCCTGCTGGACCAGGCCTTGCCCGAGAGCCGATGAACGGCTGCCTCTTCTGCTAGAATATTGGCCGCTGGCGATAATCCTCTCCTCCAAGAGGACAAGGAGGAAACAGTACCATCGCCAGCGTTTCCAGGGTGCACCACGAGGAGGTTTTCTAGCCAGCACCCCAAACAAACCCTATACCAACCCGTCTGGCCAGCGTGGTATAGTAGGCCAAAACCTCCTTTCTAAGGAGAGGCCTATGTCCAGCAGTGGACTAGTATAGGCTGTTGATATGATATGATATGATGATAGTATTAGAAATAAAATTAACACTATTTTTAATATCAATATAAAATAACACCCAAGGAAATACTTGGAACTACAATAGAAGTAAACCTCATATTAGATAGGACTTTTAACTTTCCTCGTACTGGAGAGATAAAGATATTAACTCTCCAGTAAGATAACAATTTGATAAATGAATAAATCAATAATGATAATTCATATTACTGTTAATAAAAACTAAAGCAGCAATCGAACAAACCGAATCGATCAATATGGAGCCCTCTATTTGCGCGTTCCGTTTTACACGACGCTCCACGCTTTATAAGATGGGTCTTTCGCTAAATAAAAAAATCGCTCTCTAAGCTTATTGAAAAGTATTCTCGCCCTACGTTCACGGCGTCTGAGCAAATATAAGATAATTTTCGCGCTTCACCTCACTCGGTATTTAGGGGGCACCTTTTATACTTTTTACCGTGTCGTTTGATAGGTACCAACACAGTACGGAACGTTCTAATGTAATTTATTCTGTATTCAAAATATGTCGTTTATCGTATCGCCGGTACCAAGCGACGCCTTTGATTGGCGGTTTGAATTTTCCATTTTTTTACGACACTCATAATTTTTCTAACTTGCATTTGGCAAATTAAGAGCTTTATAAAGCTAAATTTAATTTTCTTATTGAAGATGATCGATGCACTCACATTAAATTACATTAGACCATACTGTTAGCATTGTTACCACACCTGTTTGTTCGATCGCTAATTCGTACGTAGCTAAACAAATCCATCAATATCAACATATTCGTACGTAATATAATGTACCCAACATATGGAAAAACTTTAAGCTTACCTGAAGCTTACATTCTCATCCATATGTAGTTCAAAAAAGCTAGATATTTAAAAAAAATCGTTCCCACAGGTTGTTACAAAAAAATAATAATCTTTAACCCAACCTTTAAAAAACGGGGCAATCTTGTTACTGGGATTCAATTGAACCATTCCTAGCTACTGGAATTGGGAACCAAACCAACAAATAAAACTAATTCACCGTGTACACTCAGACCACAAAAAATGCATTTAAAGCAATTCACATGAAATGAGCACGCATTGTCGTTCGGACATTGTCTAAGTGCATGCTTAAAGAAAATTAATTCGACTAAACACGTATAAATATTATTTACTAAAGGGTTATTTACTAATTGGTGTATTACTCGAGTACAATCATGAAAACGAGTCAATCGGTGTGTGTAATTCGAATTAAGGGACTGTTTACACGTTTCTACTTTGCGTGGAGTTTATTTTTTTATAAATGGACAGAGCGCAGACGGTTTTCACACATGGCCACACTTCATCGGGTCGTTTAAAACTTATGCACCATATAATGTCGAATGGTAGGTAGGTATATAACTTTTTAACTGCAAAAATTTAAAAGCTCGACAAACTAATGTCAAATTAATTCTTAAACGTTTAACTTTGTGTAGTATTAAGAGTTTAAGTACCTTCACGTTTCAGTAATAATAGGATTTAACCTATTAGTAGTCAAACGTGAGAAGCAATTTTTTTTTTTTTAACCCGTGCAGTTACTACTTATATCGGTCGGTCCTTGTTTGATTTTTTGACGAATATAACAGCCTTTGTATAATAAAATTAATAGTGCATTATTAATTGTTTTGTTTGATAGCCAAGTTAAATCGTTATAAACAATTAGAAAACAAAATAATAAACGAAGAAATATTTAATTGGCTCGAATCATTGATTCCTTAACTTCATGCTGTCTTCAAAGCTTGTTAAAAATTTCCATTTCATTTGAAAGAAAACTCCAACCCTTTCCACTTTTTTTTAAATTTGTTATTTAATTTAACAGTCGTCAACCGTTTGACTTTTAATAATTGTACATCTTGTTATAATTTTCTAATTGAACAAATGTTTGCAAAGTTTACAAGACTACGAAGGCAAGGCACCTTCCGCAGTTAATGTGCCAGTGTTCTGACTTGTTCGAGTCAATAACTACTACAAACGTAAACTATGTCAGAAAGCCTATTACTCAATTATTGATTACATAAAAGACAATAATGTTTCGTATTAATTTAGCGCAGGCTATTTCGTAGTGGAAATGTGATGTGGGCTAGTGTGATTTTTATTTATAATATTTTTTACTTCACTTTCATTTCATTTTTTTTTCTTTATCTTGTTTTCTCTTCATTGTCTTTTTACCTTTTAGTATTTAGTAACGGACATACTACATTATTTAAATATTATTTCTACATTAAAGAACAAAAAATGTATTTTAGATTTTAAATTATTCAGTGTGTTTGATAGGCGCTCAAAGTAAAATAAAGCATGTGATTTTTCTAGAAAATTGTAAAATTATTAGTTGTTTCTTTTATTGCATTTAAAAATAAACCCTATTTTTCACTTGAATGCCAATTTTCATAATTACAGATTTAGAATTTAAAAATGTATGTCAAAAAAATGTGAAAAAACCCTGTGAAGTTCAATAATGGCAAATCCGACACTATTCTACGACTATGACGATTTAATGATGCCATTTTATCTATCTATTAATTAAAAAAGAGTGGTCGTGAGTTTGTTTGCCCTTTCTCTCATAAGGCTCAACCCTTTCGAAACGGGCGGTTGTAGATCGATACAGCCATATAATAGATTTTCGATACATATATATTTAATTTGCTAAATATTTGACAAAACAGAGATTGTTTCTATTGTGCTAGTTGATCTATGACGTTATAGTCTACCTAGATACAATAAGAAACGATTTTAAACAATTTTAACTTTTTTTATGAAATAAATATATTTTGAGTTTTGAACAGATTAACAAGAGTTCTATATTACAAATACTCCAAAAGACATGTATTCTTAGATTAATTATATGTCCCACCGCTAGCTTCTTTAGTTGCGTTACTGCAACTACTGTTACTTAACTGGCTCTCACAATTTTAAAGGGAGTGTAGTCCACCACGTTCGCCTCGGTATTTATATGCTTACGCAAGCGTAGTAGACTTCACATAGTAAGTAGAGCAAATACAGTTGCAGAATAAAAATCTCTATTAACCATTGTGTTGAATGTTATTTTTTGTATTTAAGCTTAGTAACACGAAGACCACCGTCAGAAAGTGTGATCTATATTTTGCTGATAGCATAACGTAGTAGGAAGACAAGGACTTATAATTTGGCTGAGTACGGTTCACAAATAAATCTAAATAATTAATGTGTACAAATACTTATATTAATTAATCTATGATCAAATGTCAACAATCGAATCGTAGAAAAAAACTTTAAATGAGAATAAACAAAAAAAAAATACCGTTCGTTTTTCAAACGTGGCGCGCTTTCGCGGTCCATCGGGCATTCCGTCAGATGCCAGTCACTTCGGGGCGCAGACCACCGCGGCCGCGTCTCGTGTTACCATCTATCGTCTTACTCGCCTTCCTGCCCTACGTCTAAGTTACTGCATCGTCGTCATATGCCGCGGTGACAGTTGGCCGATATTCGGTTTTGTTATATTTCGGTGTTTTGGGTGGCCTCGGAAATTACGTAAAAAATGTGATCGAGTAAGTTTTAAAGGAAGCCTATGATCAGTCAATAGTATATACATATAAATGTTGTATAGTAATACGAGGCAAGGTAATACTACTGTCTGTTTACTTCTTAATCACAGCCCAAATCTTTAAAACATCCACCTTATCATAGCAAATAAATTGCTGTACAACTAATATTTTACACATTTAAACAAGACTATTGATGTATTTGAAAACATACCATTAAATTAGATTTCACTTTACTTACGTAGATAATATTAATAGCATTTGACCATATGATTCTTTACGTGAAAGGTACATCAAAGTCCGATGCTTGCCACAACTACTGTCAATGCAGGTGACACTCCATTATTCGTGACGTCAAGCAAAGGATTTGCACTAGCAATGTCAGGATAAGGACAGTTAAACCACGTCTAGTAGGAAGCATCTTTATACATACGTCATGAAATATTTGAATATTGCAAAATGCTAACCTTGGCAGTTGGGTTAAATAAGTATGTGTTTGAGATATAATGTATCGCCAAAAAAAACCTAGCAACAAACATAATATATTCATACGGGTACAATTAAACGGCTGCCACTTAACGGAAAGCCAGTCGAAGTTATACCTAGGCCTCGTGCAGCCTCTTGGTCTCGTGCAGCGGTCGCCAACAGGCGGACCGATTCAATTAGAACTCCAAAGATGTCCAAGTTGGCTAGCAGTAATTCTCGTACCTATTTTACATATAAGTAACGACGACTGTTGTGATTTGATTAGTCATAAATATTAAATGTCCTTGATGATGATCTTAATGTTCTAAAATAATTAGACCTTGATCAGAAACAAGAAAATACTTCTTAAAAATAGTTGAACCGACTTCAAACAATACAAACAAGGAGCACTAAAAACCTAGCAACAATCGCTATTGATCTGCTGTCATTTTTTAAAGAGTTCCGTTGTCTGTCTCCGAAACTTATCATCAGATCTATATGAAGTTGGACCATTTCGGAATAAACCCCTTTCGAAAAAAAAAGAATTTTGAAAATCCCACTATATATGACAGAGCTATACCCGAACATGCATAAAAAAAATATATAAACATCCGAATTAATAACCTCCTCCTTTTTGAAGTCGGTTAAAAATACAAACAAGTGAGTATTATTCTTTTTTTTTGGACCTCGTAAAAAAAATAACAGGATCCGTAAAAGTTACCTGCCGACCCCTGGTTAGCAATCCTGTTAAGCCAGAGATCGTGGTTGGATGGAATCGAACCCACGACCGAGACCCAGAACGGTTGGGTGACACCTATTAGGTAAGTGGGGCGTTTAATACGCTCCTGTCTTTTTTGGGATAAAGACGTATGTATGTAGCTACACGTATTCGACCTTAACCCTCTCAGTTATTTCCTTAACGAACACATTCGTCCATATAACTAATATCCTTACCCTTTCATTGTCTTAACTTGTAAGGATCTTTACTTTTCAAAATAGTTACTCCTAATTTTTGAAACTTTAATTCCGTTTCATTGAAGTGCCTGATTAGCGGCAGTAGGATTGCCCTTAATTACCCGAATAGGACCAAATCGTATTAGTAACATAAATATTTTGTGTCGATAACACAAGTTAAGTATTTTATTAGTGTGGCGCTATAAACTTGGATTAGCAGTTATGTTTAAATTAATGACGCGTAGACGCCTAACTGGTAAACGCGCGATAGAATATCGAATCAAACAAGTAACGTCTCTGCTGGTATTTACTGGTCTATGAATAGAATAGTATGAGTAGATAGTAGTCAGAAAATCAATTTTTAATGTTAAAACAGCAAAATAAAGTATCGTATAGTTTAGATTAAACTTCATACAAAAATAAGTAATCAATTTCCATGACACATTTCGAATCGCATGTCATCATGGGCTTTACCAACAACAATATCATATCTGACATGGGCGCTCAAATATACAGCCAATGAGTTTTTTTTCCTTATTTTGTTATCAACCCGCCTTTCTTATTAATCTGTGGCTGCCGAGAATTCGATCAAGGTTAGATAAATTGGGTCATACCATACATCTTCGGTTGTTTTTTGTCGTTACATCTTCAGTATTGAAGTCTGTTTACTTAGGTTTTTGGCTTTATGCGAAGAGAGTTTTATAAGCTAATACAATATTATCATCTGATTTAAAGGTGTTTGAGCAAAATTATACTAATTAGAACCGATTATCACTGGGACAAAGTGCTGAGCTAAAGTAAAACAATTTCATGGTTTTAACTATGAGAGGAAATTATTTTCCTTTATAATGAAACTCAAACCATTTCGAGGAGCTGGAAACATACGTTCCGAGTGAGAATAAAAACTTTCGTAAGTGGTATTCATGTTTATTAAGAACATAAAATTGTACTCTTGTCAAGGTTGTCCAGCCAAGATTCAACGCGTTTCTCACGTTTTGTATCTATGCACGGGTCGAGGGTTATGTGACCCACTCAACAATCTAGTACGAAAATCTGTTATCTGCTATAGTTTCCTCTTAAAATAGGACTTTGAACTCTGGTATTCAAACATCGACTGTCAAATTCAAACCCATCTAGTTTCGATTCATTGCTTTTTTCCTACAGGTTTCCTCAATCAACCGAGTGCTCCGTAACCTAGCAGCGCAAAAAGAGAAGGCGAACAATCAGCAACCTTCTCCTGAGTGCTCGGCTCCAGTGTACGAACGTCTTCGGCTACTTGGCGCGCCAGGATCTTCCCCCGGCTGGCCTAGAGCTCCCTGGCCGACACAAATTGACGCCAGGACACCACCTTACCAGCTTCATAGTCTTTCTCCTGGACCTCAAGCGATCAGTTGTAATGGCGGAGACATGACCACGATGAAGAAAAGTAAGTGGATATTGATATTTACGGACTCTATTCTATTGTCTATTTTGATCTCACCTAAAAAATATCCTTGTCCTAACGTATACATTTTTTTTATTATTCAGGATCTATTTGTCTCTGTCTAATATTTATTGCGAGATATTTAACCCATTCGTTACCGACATTCGCCTATGTAGTGTCGTTTCTATAATTATACACTTTTTTTTTACAAAAAATATTAATTGTTTATAAGTTAAGTTTTCCTCAATACATACATGACATACATATTATTGTATGTAGATGTAGTAAACATCTAAATTTTTTTACATCCATATCATCCACTCTGAATAACGAAGTTCGTTCTAAAAACCTTTAATTTATAAATTAGTTTCTAGATAGAGTAGAGCTTTGAGAAATTTTGAAAAACCCTCTCATAAATTTAAGTCTATAAAATGCAGTTTCCGGTTAAATCGCTACGAGTCAAATGAAGCCCTCCTAGATACATAAAAATCCAAATGTATGCACGCCTTGGGAAACTGGAAATTACAGAAAAAATAAAATCCGTAAAACACCGAATACGGCGGGCCGGTCACAGCCCGCCAACAACCCAACAAAACTTTTTCACCAGCATTTTGATAGTCGATTTGCGGCTCCCCCTGTGTGGGGCGAGAACAGACGAGCAAGGGGCGACACGACGGGTTGGGGGGGCCGTCCCGCCTACGGCACCGTCAAAAACATTACTCTGCCCATCCGCGTGGAAGATTTAATTTTCATTTTTATCTGAAACATCCCCCTTTGTAGTGGTCTGTACTCTGTATCCAATTAGGTGGCTTTGAGAATTTTTCTGGTACACCCACATGATATCGCTGCAACAGTTCAAAGATATGGAATTTTTAATTTAGATCTAAACAAGCAATTATTAACAATTTGCCAATGATTTAACGAAATACAAGTTAATACTTTTTTATCTCTTTATAAATTACTACAAAATAAAAAAGAAAACTATTACTGAGTACCCATATTTGTTGTCGAGCTCAGTCTCATTATGTAACCAACTTAAAAGTCTTTACAATCTATACAAACCAGCAATTTATCAGTTTTTAAGGTGTTTAAATATGTACTAACCAATTATTATTAATTAATCTTATCATGTCTAATCTAATGTCTAATTTACGTTTTAATAAATGGGTCACGTTTAACCAATAAACACCCTTCAAGAAAAACAGTGGTTACCTTGTCAAAAAGTGTTTGTTAGTTGTAAAATACTAAAATACCCGATAAGGAAATGAAAATGACATAAGTAAGTAAATAGACGTTGTTAGCGGTGCTTTTTCCTTGTATCTTTTATAAGATGATGCAAAAAGCAAAAGACTGTAGTCCATTTTGACCATAGACTCAAAAAAAATAGTTTACTATCCACATAATTTCTAATCAACAATACAATAAAATCTATAGGGGAGTGGAGGGAACGACTCGGGCAACCGAGCGCCGGGCACGCCGTCATTGCGGCGGTAAGACCCGTAATGGAGGATTGGCTCGAGAGGCGTCACGGGACCCTCTCATACCGATTGACGCAGGTGATCACTGGGAAGGGATGTTTCGGAGATCACCTGTGTCTGATCCGCAAGGAGCCAACGCCTGAGTGCCACCACTGCGATGGCCAGACCGTGGACACGGCTCTCCACACGCTGGCAGAGTGGCCCGGCGTGGGTTGAGCAAGAGGCGAGGACCTCGTGGCGGCCATCGGAGTGGAGTTCTCTCGGCTCGATAGGCCTGATTGCGGCTATCGTGCGGAGAGCGAGAGTGCGTGGAACTCTGCCGTCTCCTTCTGCGAGCAAGTTATGCTCGCGAAGGAGACGGCGGAGCGGGACCGGGAGAGGTTTTTAGAACTCTCCCGGCTCCGCCAGGCCCGGGCACGGGCCAGGCAGCGCAGGCGACTCAGGCGCCGGAGGTCGCAGAACGACCTTCGTCCTCCATAAGCGCAGGCCTGGGGGTGACAGGTGAGGCCATCTGTCACCCTAGCAGAAGCAGGCCGGGGTGGCGGCGAGCGCGTTGCGAAGCGCGCTCGCTTTCAGGGAGCACAGGGAACATGGGGTTCCCACACGGGGCGGGGGGTCGTCTACTCGTCTGTAGATGACCCGAGGTATGTCGGGGCACCAGGGCCTTCCTTTCTAGGGTATACCTGGTTCCCCGGCTATTAGTACCCGGCGAAGGCGTGCGGTTTTAGTCGGTTCGAGTCCGACATGCCACCGACAGGTGGTATCCGAGGGGATTTCCGCACGGAAAAAAAAAAAAAAAAAAAAAAAAAAAGGATACAATTAAAAACTATTATTTCAAATAATCTACATGCCCATAATTTATTCGGCATTTACGTTTTAAGTTATTATTGCCAATTATAACCCTATCAGTACCGCAAAATGGCGTCGCGGCTCACCTTTCCGATTTACCGCCACTTTCACGTTTTCCGGATATGTGTGATGGGAACCAATCAACATTGTAACACTCTACAATGTCTATGACTTACTTATTCCTATTATATATCAGATTATGTTTTGTATGATAGTGGTCTAAAACAATGAAAAAAATAATTCTGAAATATAATAGTTACCTGTTAGTCATGGGCTCGATTCTTACACGGACAAATAATTGTGTGATGTACACCATGTTATTAAAAATATTTAAGTATGACTTAAACTCTCTCCTATATTTCATGCAACACATACACGCACGTTAGTTAAGGCATTTATATCTTCTTTGTGTAACTTAAATAAATTACTTACACACTACACTTCATAATTATAAAATAATTTACCACTCGTAATTGCGTATGTTATACAAATTGAAAAAAATAATGACTCTTTTTGGTTGACTTGAAATTTGAATTCGGTAAAACAAAACCGACCTACAACTTTGCGAACAGAGAGTAGACAAACAACAACAAACCAATATTATTTATTTTGGATCGCCTACAAAACGATACACATTTCTACAATAATAAAAAAATATACAATAACATGCCTTGTGCTTATTCAGTTATAGGCAATCACAACTAACATAAGTAATACTTGTACCATTCTAAAATAAAAAAATCAAGGCACGATAATAGATAAATATAAAAGAAAATGAAAACTATTAGGTAAAAAAAAAAGTTTTTTTTTTTCAAAAACCACATTTCACGGACTATTCAAACCCAAACCTAGATGAAATTTTGCTCCCCCAAGTTTAGACTCAACACTCACTCTTAAATTTAGGCAAACTATCTCCAAAAATGTCCAAATCTAACAAACAAGAAAGTTCGTTGTAAGACTTTGCCATTCTGGTTAATGGCGAGTTAAGCCCTAGGTTAGACTCATATCTACGTAAACTGAACAGCCTGTAGACACTTGATCGCGGCAACCTACTTAGGGCTGAGAAATGGATTCTTACCATTAGTTCAGGGCAATCTATATTATTGTTATAAATATTGTACATGAATAAAGATCAAGAAGTTTGCGTCTATCATTTAAATAAACCATTTAAATAAGCTATTCTTGAATAAAAATAATACTTGAAAGACAAAATGGTCTTGGACACAGCGTGTGGATGACAGTGCATAGCACGCCCTCCGCTGTTATTCTGCCCAAGCCAGTCATGGTTAACAGTCTTAGAATAAGCACAACGACTACACCCTGATCACGACCCGACCACGTTGGTGTACGTAAACATTATCACTCCACACTCCGGCAACAATGCAATTGTTGCTATGGATTTTACATTAGTTTAGTAAAGTCAACATAACAGTAAATTACGAGAATATGAATAGATTGATGTTATGAACACATCAATGTATTACATTATTAAGTAGCCCTCTCAGATTGCCTCACTAACAACCACCTGCTGCAACGTGATTTAAATGCCCCTAATATATATGTATACCATTATCGTTAACAGACAGTATATATAATTCTATATATTTACAAGATGAAGCGTTTAATTAAGACTGTTCACAAGCCGCACAGTTAACTCGTAACAAAGTATGCCCAGCGGCGCTGCAGACAATGCCCACTAGTTGCCACTGGTAATGATATAACAAAGCTTTCTCGTCCTTGACACCTTTGTTATCTGTTTGTTTATTACGTTATTTTAAATAAGACTTACATACATATACACTACTTTACTGTATACAATGCAATGTCCGACCCAATATTAATTAAATTGTAGATGGCGGTTACTTCAGAAAGAGTAGTAGTAAGTAGAGGTAAATCATCCTATTAAACTAATTAATATTAGTTTAATAGGATGATTTACTATATACGTAGACGTTTATTTATTTACTTATTGCTTTATGCAAAAAAAATGTTTACAGGTTTACTTATTGCCATAGGCATTGTCTGCTAGTCTACCTTGGGGTAATGTAGAAATTTGAGTAAATATACAATACCTAATAAATCCATTCTAATTAAGTTTTTACACTATAAGAAAAATACCTTCTCCGTGGTATTTCTGTTCTCCATCAAGCGAAGGTAGTCAGTCAACTCATCACATCGCATCGCCCGCCTCTTGCAAAGCGCAATATTAAACAGCACTCACAATTCTTGTCCATTTTCAGATATTAGTCTCACAGACATAAAAAACAATAGTTAAAAATGGGGAAATTTCATAAACAGGATTCAACTGTGTTGTTCGTCATAGAGTCGGCGTTGCACACTAAAACTATAAATATATATGTGCGTGTTTAACTTATCTGTGCTGACATGCTAGACCTAATAAACACCCCTATCACGACTTGGGGTGATATCAGTTGCGATTAAGGGATAACAACAATAGAACAGACCTATATACCACTTATAACTCACCAAAAATTCCGGATAAATATCTGGAATCGTAAATTAAGAGCTTGTTTAGTCAAGTGGTTCTGACTGCAAGTAGACGGTTTTTAATGCTGCAACTATACGTTCACTTAAAAAACATCCGTATCAGGTCTCCAAAATTTCGGTTTGTATCCATCCCATCCCAGGCTAGGCAGAGCCTTTATTATGGTTACC